ATCTAGATATTTAAATAGTAATTAAAATGCTTTGTGCGATTTCAAACAAAATTGCCTAGGGCAGGCGGTAATAACATCTCTTTTCTTATTAACCCAAGGGTTAATTAAATTAATAAGATTTTAAAAAAATTGAACAAAAAATCATTGGATAATATACATTTTTTAAGAATGTTAATTTCGAATTAAACCAAACAAAAATTGCAAAAATTTATATATTTTTAGAGAAAAACATTTGAACCAATGAACTGACAATTTAAAAATAGTATATTAAATTAAATAAATAGCATTTAGCTGTTATTTTAAATTTTATGAATTCCGAAAAATTATTTTGAATCAAATAAAAAGCTAATTGATGATAATAAAAAATATTAATTGATAATATTAAAAATTAGAAAACATAAATATAAGGTTTGTAACTTTGAATTTATTATTATTAACAATCACACATACGTTTTATTGTTGACTAATTTCTATTCCAAATTCCTCACACTTGTTTAATTTAACTGCTGAATAATCGATTGTATCAAAATCTTACAGTTTATTTAAATTAATCAATAATGATTAACACCTCCACACTACTATTTTAAACTGCGACATATGTTTTTATAAAATGCTAATTTGAAACCTGTAAATCAAATCATTTAGTTTTAAAGCCGAAATATTGTTATTGAAATCCATATTAGGATTGGACTGAATTCCATTCTTTTGCCAATGTCCTCTATTATTAAACATTGATCAAAAGTCAGAAAATTTAAATGAAATTGTTAGTCGGTACAAAAAGTTTGTGAAATTTCAATAAATCTTTAAATTTTATCAAGCTATTATTGAAAAATTGGTTATTTATGCAAGAATGATTTTTTACTAAAATATCCGAAAAACTATACTCAACGTTGTAAAAACTTTTCTTTTAGCTATTTTGAAAATACTTTGTTTAATATAATATTTGTCAATTGACTATCTACATCCAAAAAAACTCATAATTCTAAAATTGTTTACAAATAGATCTGACGATTAATATTATATATTTTAATATTTTATATATTTATAATATTTTTCTCATAGACTTGGATATGGATTTAACTAAAAATGGAAGTGAAAAATAAGTTGACTTAACATCCAAGAACTTAGCTAGAAAATTAGTGGAACAATTCTGAAACAAAAAAATCCTAATTAGCTTTTCTGAATTAAATCAAGAATCAAACAAATTTTTAAATCCATTATTTCTTTCTTGTATATTTTGTAATAATTGTATATCTTGTAATGTTGTATATCCATTTCTTACTATTATTACTATTGTAAATGTTAGTATTGTAAGTTTCTACAATTGATTTAATGTCGAATATTTTGAGTTGTGAAAATATAACTAGTTATAAGTGGCATTTTGCCTTAGGAAAATTTGCATTAAAGTCCACAATATGTGCAAATCAATAAGAATTTATTGCAAAGAAACGGCCAGGTCAATTTTTAGCAAAAACTAATTAGCACGATTCTAAACCTAAACTTGATTTTTAGGCAATTTTACTAAGGTTAATTGACTAAAACGTGGACTAGAAGTTTTGGACTCATCTGCTAATTGTACAGAAACGGCTCGGACGATCGTTGCAAAAAAAACTAAACTAATAATAAGCGAGATTTTGGATTCTTTTCGATTGATTTTTTATTTGAATTTTAGATTACATGTGCCCAATTTTGAGAAAGTAGAAACAAGTTATTAAATTTTGTCTCGCATTCATACATTTACAAAATTTGATCAAACCAGATTCATACATACATACATGTCAAATTTGATCTCACCAGATTCAGAATGACTTGAGACGTCGAGAAAATATAACATTAATTCTTCTTTAGAAAGTCAAATGTAGATTATTATAATAATATTTACACAAATATTATGATTAAATAATTATGTCTAGAAATCAATCAAAATATAAAAAAAGAATCATATTGAACGTTTATTTTTTATTTTAATGATCACAAATTTATGCACTCCTCCGCAAACCTGTATAGTCTGAACATCTGTAGCAGAATATTGATTTAGATAATAAATTCGAAATTAATTGTAGGGGGACACCCACACGACGGCTTATGAAAACATCAACACGATTTTTTTTATAAAATATCCAGAAACGTCTGGTTATTTTCAACAAAATATTCAGAAACGTCTGGTTATTTTTATGTTTTTGTTGTCTGACTTTGAAGCGACACAATTATTGCTTTTTTACTAAATTTTACATTATGTGCAATTGTAAATATTCCTTGTTAGTTTTCATTTATGAGCTTACGGTATTTGCCTAAATTATTAATGATAACCATATTTTATTTGATTTTAAGTAAAAGAACCATTAACGAGCGTCATTGTTTAGCAATTATTTCTGTAAACAAATTTGTCTTTTGTTATTTTTTTTTTATTATACATTCAAACTTGTGCATTTAAAGTATCTTGAAGAAATATGTTGTAATATATTGATTTTGTCGGCATGTCTTGATGTTAATGTTATAAAAATGTCATTTCGAAATATAGTAAACAGGTTTTACACATTGTTTCCTTTGCAAATTTTTTGAATTCAAATATTGCATACTACGATAATTAGGTTTTCTTGTGATAAAATTGAAAAGAATCAATTTAATTAATAAGAGCGTCTGACTTGCAATCACAGAATCGATGGGTCGATTCTGCCTCATAACAGACCAATGTTATAGCAAGGCCATGTTACGCTCTAACTTGCATACATTATGCTAATGAATAATACTGAATACTGTCAAAATGTCATGTACTTGTTGTTCATTCAGGCGTTTTATACATACACTGCAACGTCACTCGTATGTTATGAAGCTGTGTCAGAAAGACCCTGTTATCTAAGATCGTTTATTTGACATTTGTACGGTTTCTAGGTTAGGTTTTCTATCTGACAACCTGAGAAAAACGCCTGACTACGCAGCAACTACATGGGTTTTGGTAATATTTAGAACGGATTTGTATGGCAAGTTCTTCTTAACATAGCCTTGCCATAACATTTGTTTGTTATGCGGCAGAATAAGTCCACGAGTTTATCAAAAGTTAAGTAAAAAATTGTCACAAATAGAAATAGAGTTGCTTTCTAAGAAAGTCAGGCATATTATAGCAGAGTATATAACAGCATCAGAGTAGCACTGATTTCTCTTCAAATAATAAAAAAAAAATCATAAACTGACAGTTAAAAACATAAACGTACAGTTATCACTTGTTCATATTATTTTAGTGTACTTATTATGCATATACAATCTCACACAAACATTATGTCCCAATGACATACTAAATTTGTCCGAATTACAGCAGATCTTTACAATTCTTCAATCAATACTATTGGTCAATAGTTGTTACTGACATCATTTACACTTTTGTTGTTTTATTCATATATATTTTTTTTTCTTCACACTTTTTCCACATAGGGGAGATAGGGGCTTGTTGTAACAGTTCTTTCTTAAGTTGTAATAGTATTTTTTAGATAGTTGCTCTAAATTTCTCTTCCAAATGAAATAAAAATAATTCCATAACTATTGTTTATTATTTCCCAATTAATCATGTTAGAGAAATAGTTCTTCTAGCTCCCCTACATTTATGTTTACTTATCAAATTTTTATACATATTTATTTACTTTACGCGTTTTATTGATATATCAGAATGAAATTGATACAATTTATAAATCAATAATATAGCATGTCTATTATTTAAATAATTATGATTTGCGATTACAAGGTATTGAGTTCAAATTCTTGTTTTGCTTGCGACCTTATATCAAGAAGTAGTGATATTCTCGATAGAAAAATATATTTTTTTCTTTTGTGCGTTGCTGCAAAAGTTAAAATATTACCACAATTAGAAAAGGAGAAGAATCTTTAGAAATATATTTTGCGACCACAAGGTTTTGAGTTCAAATCATTGCGGTGTATGCGATCTAATATCAAGTAATAATGTTATTCCCATTTTTACTTGAAAATAGATCAGAAATATAAATTTCTTTTCTGGCCATTGCTGCAAGAAGTTGGAATATTATCATTATGATAAAAAGACAATTATTGGTTATATAATTAATTGTTTATGTAATTATATTTTGCCACCCCAAGGGATTGAGTTCAAATCTTTGAGTTGCATGCGACCTAATATCAAGAAGTAGTGATATTCTCATATTTACTTAAAAATTGACCAGAAATATAGATTTCTTTTGGGCATTGCTGCAAAAAGTTAAAATAACATTACAGTTAGAAATAGACAATTATAAGTTAATTATTATAATTAATATTATATAATTTAGTTTATATTATTATATTTTGCGACCACAAAGGATTGAGTTCAAATATTTGCATTGCATGCGACCTAATATAAAGCAATGGTGATATACCAATTTTTACTTGAATAGTTCATGGATATAAATTTTTATTCTGAGCAATAATGCAAAAAGTTTATAATATTATAACAATTAGTAAAGGACAATCATTGGTTTGCATTTTGAAAGCCATTGGTAAAAAATATCAACGAAAGTAATAACAGGCGCAGGTCCAGCGACTCCGGAAATGCAATAAAAAGAGTAAAAAAAATGCCATTTGGCAGTCAAAAATTAACATTAGACATAAGTACATCGTATTATCAGATATTTTATAAAGATTATAATGAGTTCTGTACCTATGTTTACACGTTAACGACTACGCGGCGCTTACGCGCTTTGGTATTTCGACTCCAAATCCGCCTATGATGCTAAAAATCAAAATACAAAAAATTATAATAATAGTCCTTTTTTAAATTTCAAAATTTCTCAAAAATCTAACTTTTTCAAATTGTTGCAAAGTATATTTTTTAAATTTAGTTATCGGTATGGAAAGTTCCGGCCTTAAGGCCTGATGCCATGCAATACTTTATATCTACTATATTTAGTTATAATAATTTTATGTTAAAGGTTGAGGAATGTGTGAAGATATAATTCAAATTTTTTTGTAAAATTGGTTAATATTTTTTTCATTTTTAGGCTTAGAAATGGCCCTCAGTAATCCTCAACACAATGATGCATATACAGTTTGCAAATATGAGGTTGTGGTACCCATGGAAAATGAGGTATTTATTATATAGAGTTATGCAAAATTATAAATAAATCCATTAGATAATAAATCTATTTTATTATAGCAGTATGTTTAATTAAGCATTAAATTTACTAAATGTATATAAGCTATATAATCTTAATTAACTTTTGTATTTATCTTCTGCAAGAGTGTGCTCCTGAGATTATCTCTTATGCATATAACATAAAATATTCAATTATGAACCTCAGTTTGCATTCTCAGAAATTACTAGCTGACGAAATACAAATTCACACATTAATGGATATGGTAAATTGAACATACTGCTATAAATTATTATTTATCAATTTTATTATATGTGGCATACAGATTCTGGTATCAAAATGTTGAAATCTATAGTATGATATTAGTTCCAATTGCCTTGTTCGATATTCACAATTTTAGAAGTGGTTTTGCTAACACTTACATAAATAAAGTGGTCGATGCGTAAAGTGCTTGAAGTCATGAAGTCATTTTCTAATAATAAACCTACATGCAAAATTGTTTAGCTAAATCATTCAACTAAAGACATATTCGAATTTATTCCCGTTGCAAATTGGCTGTTGCATATTATTAGTTAGAAAGTGACAAGGCAACTCTTAGGTATAATGGGTCGACGGTAATCGTCGATAAATAACTAAACAGTAATATAATAAATTATTACTGGTTAACAATTAACGTAGCTTATAAAAATATAGCTAAAGTTATGTGCTTGAAGTTCGTAATTTGCATTTTCATTGTAAGGGAATGGCGTAGAAATATATGTTCTTTCGAGCCAAAGGCGTCGATTAGTAGACGTAATGACTTGAAACTTTGGCAACGTAATAATGTTCGCGTTATGATATATATATATATATATATATATATATATATATATATATATATATACAGTGATATCCCGCATTTCGTACTTAATTCGTTTCGGAAGAAAGTTCGTTGAGCAAAAATTTTGCTAAGCGAAACGCTTTTTTCCATACAAATACTTGAAAATAATATTAATTCGTTCTGTAGTTTGAAATGGACATAGAAAATAAGATATGTTTTACATATAATTAAGCCATTTGAAAAATATTACGAAATATTAAAAATATGATTTATGAAATAAGTTTTTATCAGAGTCGTATTGCTACCTTTTGTGCCCTTTTAGATTCAGAATTTTTCAAGGAACTGTCGATAACTTTTTTTCAACAAGCAAATTTTCAAGGTCCACTCTTTGAATTAATTTTAGCAACATATGTTTTGTTACTACAAATGACAACGATTTAGACGTTGTGTGGAGCAATGTTCGTTATGTAAAACTTTTGTGACTGAAAAAAAAAGTTCGTTATGGGCATCGTTTATTGTGTTTATTTAAGTACATATTTAAATATTTGTGTGTATGAATCTATCGTATTTTTAGTAAAAGGAATTAATCGATTTTTATGATTGAAGCAATTGGTTTATAGAGAAAGCAAGTTCATTCATTTTGAAATTACGGAACAGAAAAACCCAAATTTTGGCAATTGACCAAAAATGGATTCCTATATAATTTAGCTTTCAGTAGAGATTTTAATAAAAAGACTTCAGTAGTTTTATCACAATTTTGATTTCTTGAAAATGTATGTATATTTTTAAAATTTATTTTTGGAATCTCTTCAAACTTCTTCTAATAAAATTTTATGCAGAATCATGAAACGTTTATATTGTTTTCATACCAAATTTATCATTTCATATCAATGCGCGAGGAATATTATTTGTGTATATAATTATCAGTAAGTACATAATAAATTTTTGACATAGGAATATTTTATTTAATCTTCTTTGGGTGGTCTATGTTGAAAAAAATCAAAATAAATATGTGTATTATTAGTTAGCATATTATCAATTTAATAAGAGTAGGATATCGTAGATTAAGGTTTTTCGTTTTATTCAATTTTGTAAAACGTAGAGCTTTTTATAAAAATAATGCTGGTAAATATTCTAGTGTTTTCAATAACTCTTTTCATGATGAAAACTTTCTGATTTGTAGATTTCCAAGATCTTTTCTATAGTAAAAAAAATCAAATTTATCAAAATAATTCTGTTGTTGAATTCTAAATCTTTTTCAACCTTTAGTACTACATATTTGTTTTATACACCAATCACAATTTTTTATCAAATCATCTCACTATCACTCACCAAATGTGAGTGATAGTGCGGGTGCATCAATAAACAAGTCATTGAAAAAAGAAATTATTTTGTACAATCTAAATTAAAATTTAGACACTTAGTGGCAAAATAACATTATTTATTTAACACATATTTTAACAACATATTTTATTTAATCATTAAAAATTTGTTAATTTAATTAGCAATCAAAATATAGAAGAAGCCGTTCCTATTACATAAACAAATTCACAATGGTTCAATTACATTAGTTTTACATCCATGACACACCTAGAGAAATACCTGTAAATATCAATGGATCGCTATTTACAATTGATCTTACAATTGTGCTAAATTTCCATAAAATAAAGAGAAACTCTATAACTACGACCTCTACATTTATATATATATACAATTATACATACATAAGTGTACATGAGTAATTATATAACGTATTGGCTGAAACGAATAATTTTATTGCCCAGAAAATTTTTCTTCAATTGTGAACTAACTCTTATTTTGAGTCCATTTGAGGTAGTGTAATCAGTTTGGATGTGGGCTAGCACAAACTAGTCTTGAGTTTCCCAGCCTCAGCCAGCAATGATGTCAAATTTCTACTTGAAGTTATAACTCTCAACTATAAGCTCTCATAGGTTGCATATAAAATCATAAATATCAACAAATACTTTGTGTATTAGTTAATTAGTCACAACTGGATTTGGCAACTGCTGGGTTGCCATTCATTCAAAAAGTCATATAATCATCAAAACAATTACTGAATGTCCTAGTATGACAGATTGTATTTAACAGTATAACAAACAATGAGTCCATTGAAGTAATTCTTATTTTGATTGCTGTGTCATTATCATTTGATGATTAATTTTGAGTTTATTATAAACCTAGTAAATTGTGGCATATAGTGAGAGATTATGATTATTGGTTAATTTTTGTTTTAGAATAAAAACCTATACGACTAGAACTACATCAGAATTACATCGAAAATACCTTCTATTTTATCCCTTCATCAGCTTTCCAAAAATGTAACAGTAGTTATATATTTTCCTCTATTTTTACACACGTGTAAATATATAAATATATATATATATATATATATATATATATATTATATTCATTTATAATTTATCGACACATTGGCAGGTGATTAGTATCTAACAATCTCATATAATAAATAACCATTAGTTAACTTTCTGACATTAATATTTCCTATCGATTTTATATAATAAATAATTTACCATAAGCACTTTAAATTTTCATTTACATCTAGTCGATTCATGTTTTTGTTCCTGCTCGTGAAATTAAATAGTTATAAGACCAATTTCCAATTTATGGAGCCATCGAGCAATATATGTAAAAGATGCAAGAATTTGAATTTTGTTTCTTTCAATTGGAGTCAGAGATTGCTTCTATCAATTAAATATTTTTATATGTGCATAAAACGTAAAAATATAATTACCAAGATTAGTTTATATTTATTTGATATTTATCTTACTTGAATCATCGAACTTTGTCAAATATGGCGTTAAATATCAGTAGTATAATGAACACCAAATATATATATATATATATATATATATATATATATATATATATATATATATTCAATAGATAAGTCCTGGATTTTTTCAATATATTGATTGTTTCTTTTCCGAACAGTAAATCCAATAATAAAAAACAATTTGTTTTTTGAAGATGTTTAATACGACGTTTCGGAACTAGGTACGTTCCATCATCAGGTTTATTCTGTCAAATACAATGTTTTTTAAAAATATTGATTAACATTAATTAACGATGGTCAATACAGATTAATTAGAAAAAAATTTTTTTATAAAGGAATGGATTATGTACCGGGGTAAAGAGTAATAAGAATTAACTAAAAAAGGTTTTATATAAAATTGAGAAGCAAAAATTATTTACCTGTAATAATTTATATATCCATATCACTAATATTTTTTTGTTAAAAACACTCGATTTTTTTGGAAGATATTTGTAGATGTTACGACTACACAAGACTACACACTGATATGGATTTCTGTCTGCCAGATGTAAAGGACAATGTACGGAATTCTTGGCAAAAATGATTTTTTATGGCTCTTGTTTGGTAATTTACGAAAAAAGAGGAAATATTGCTTTACTAAAGCAAATTTTGATAAAATATCTCATAATAACACAGCACATAAAAACAGTTTGCA